AGATAATGTGAGTTAGTCCCTTACTGTCTTGTCCATCCACTTGAAATTTTGTAAGCCAGTATCATATTCCCTCTTAGGTACTTTGCACATTGAGGTGTCATAGCCAATTCCTTCCCAGTCAGCCACTCAGCAACATCTTGTTTCCTTTCTCTCAGACCCATTTCCATACACTGTCTCCAAATGACACATAATAGTCAAGCAGTGGATGGTACAGTGATGACTTCTATTTTGCACTGTGTTGCTTACCCAATAGCCCTGACTATCCATTGTTGGTTTTATTTTTTTTTTCTCCTGCTCCTTAACAATGAGCTGGTATTTTCATGCAGCTGTCTAATTACATCTCTCTCCTGACTGGTTAGTCTTTTCACAAGCCATAGTTCTGTAAGCCAAGTTAGAATGTTAGCTGCAAACTTTTGTTCCTCGGTGCTTTACCCTCTTCAGACCATTTGCAAACATCCAGAACAGTACAAGTCTGGCACCACACTGGTGAGTTACTGGCATAGTGATGACTGACTTTTTCTGCTACTGTGTATTTCTTTCTTTGCAATCACTTATTCTAAAACAACCTTCCCTCTTATTCCATGGCTGAATTCTACTTTATTTGAAAATCTTTGATCAGAAATTTTGCCAAAAAAATCTTTTGGAAATTCAAGTAGACTGGATATGCTGGATCACCCTTATCTCCACTTGTGCTTGGCCTCTTCCAAGAACTCCATAAAGTTTTTAGGTCCAGAATTCTCTTAACAAAAACAGTGGTGACTTTTACCGGAAAGGTCAAGAAGTTCCATAGTGATGACCCTTCTTAGACTCTTCACTATCTGCTCAGTACTTGTACTGAGCTCATGGAACTATATTTCCCTTGACATGTCAGAACCTTTTATTGATTACAGCATTGGCTCCCAGTAGTCGGGTATAATTCTGGCAAGAGATTATACTTCAGTTAGTAATTCAGCTATTTTGTCTAAGTTTTTTCATAACTCCTCAATGAATACCACCTGTGCCCACCAAATTTAGCATTCATTTTGTCTGACGACTGAAGATATTTAGCACATTATGTTGTAACTGCCCTGGGAATCAAGCAGTATAATGCCTACCTACAATAACAGCCATTTGGGACCTAAGTTTCATTACGGATGTATTTGATCTGTCATAGGCTCTTTGAACATGATTAATAAATAGCATCACTCTTAAATATGGCATAAACACAGTGGTCATCATCATTTTGATTCAGCAACAGCCAGGAGGGTATATATTACCAACATGTTTTGTCTCAGGAGTGATAACCTTCTTTGGGTTTGCAGGTAAACATTCTCCAGGCAATGTTTGCTAGCAGGACCAGTACAACAGGCTGGCTACATAGTCAACTCTCTGTCATCCAGGCCAAGGGAGGTGTGGAGATGCTTCAGATAATGGAAAAAAGACTAGAGATTGTGAGGGATGCATGGAATGCTGTGCAGAGATGCTGTGATCACTTCTCTCAATCCATGAGGACTCAGTGATCCAATGCTAGATTTTGTGACATGGATTTTTATGTCATTGAAGTGTGTCCACAACCAGCTTCCCTGATGGTCTGGCCAGCTCTTGGAGGCCAGGAAAAGGGGAAAAAGGTCTATTTGCGTGAACGTGGAGACAAGTAGGTTCATAGCTACCCTGGAGTTCATAAAGAACCTGGGATTGCATCTGTGGTACAGAGTCAGCTCAGTAGTACCAAGGACCACCTGGTATTTGTGATTAAATCCTGCCAATCTCCAGTGTCTGTGCCTCAGTATAGAAGCAGCATTCCAAGTGCAGAGATAGCTAGCGTATCCACTCCCATGTCTCTGGGTACCCTGCTTCCCTGCCACATGGGTTTTGAATGCTATGTGCAACTTGTGTCAGTGTGGTGCTCACCTGGATATTGCTTTTTGCCAGAGCATAGAAGTGTCCACAGGAGAGAATGAATGTAATCTCTAAGCACCTGACCCATAGCTAGAGCCCTAATGTAGCTGTAACCTAGAGACTGCACCTTCATGGTAGAACTTGCTACACCTGGTCTCCATGGGATTATTATGCATGTTGTAAAGCAGAGTCCTGCTGCTAAAGTTAGGTCTGTGTTCGGAGTTCTGCATGTCAACAAGGTCTGCAGGTAGCACACACATGGACTAAGCCTCAATCCTTTGTTTCAAAAGTGTTAGTAATATGCAGTAAAGAGCATGAATGAGCACTTGTTTAGTGAAGCAAGGCAACAAAATGTGGGAGGAGAAGAAAAGCCTAAATTTGACCAGTCTACGTATGAAACTTGAGAAATGCCCCGATAACAACTCTCAGCTCTATCAGTAGGTCACCTGCAGGTATTACAGCTCCCATAACCAGTCAGTTGGTGCAGAGATCTTTGGTGAAACAATGGGCAGGAGAGATGTCTGTGTTTTAAAATACTTCTAAAAATCAATGTATAGTAATTCTTAAGGCTGGCAGGATTTTAATTGTCAAGCATGCATCAAATGGTGAGTGCATCTGAGAACAAACATGAGAGGCATGAGTGAATATCTCTGTTGCAGTTATCAACTACATTTGGTTCAGCAACAGCCCTCCAGCTTTGTGCCTCACCTTCAAGAAGCAAACTGCTAGGGACAGAGTTCAGTGTGTTGAGTCCGAAGTGCTGTTTATTTAATAATACCCTTTCCCCTCCCTTTCCCAATTTATAGCATTTACCAGGCTTTTAATGGCCATGTGATATCTTGGAGAGGAGATAAATACTCTTCCATAGTTCATGGTATGAATACAGTTCCTGTTGCTTAGTAAGGGCTTAGTTCAGGGAAGTGTTGAACATTTGGGCTAATCTGCCTTTAATTATATGGCAGTGTAGCAGTACAGAACACTATCAGTATTCATGCTTTCTCCACAGAGTCTGAGTTCAGGACAGTATGTACTCATAGTGTTGTGGTTTAGCAGCTGAGTCCATGCTTCCCCAGCTGAATGACTGCAGTGGGGACTGCTCTATCACATAATCCTGTGGACTGCAGTAAGTGGAGAGGTGGAGCTCATTTGGATGGAGCCTTTGTCTGTGTATGTAAGCACTTGGGAAAAAGGAGTAATTTGGGTGGGTAAAACAAGGGGGGATATGCTGCTTCTTTGGAGAGGGTAACCCACTAAATAAATGAAATAATTAACTTGAAGAACATAAATTAAAAGATAAAATGTGATAGGTAGGAGTTTCCTTAATGTGCTGAAGAGTGTCCTGTGTCATGCATTTTCAAAAGCCAGGGGGACATAAAGAAAACACAAGAAGCAGTCGATGAGCCAAAATGACTGCATTGTCTCGGGAGGGAGCGCCACACTGTGGTGTTCCCTGTATTTTGCTGGCGGTGACTCAGGACTAGCACATACTTTCAGATGGACACAACACGACCCTCGACATTTCATCTTCAAATCCCAGTCTGGCAAACCTGTCTGGCTTTCTGTGAGTGGTTGAGCTGAACAACATGGTTCAAAGTGTAAAAGTATCTCGGACAAGCTCCTAGCACTAATCCAGGACATGTTGGAGGCAAGTGATGCTGTATCCCATTCAAATGAAGTTGCCTGCTTTGGTTTGAAGTCACTAATGTGTCTCCATTAATTTCAGGAGCACAGCTTGAAGTGCTCGGGATGGCTATATTGTAGTGATACTTTATGTGAGCTGGGGTGAAGTATACTATTGTTATGAAGAGTGATTTGATGGTGAAATGAAATGAAAGAAGTTATGGAACTGCTCTGTCATAATTTATAAAGACTGTTGTGTGTATTAGGCTGGTTGCCTGGAAGCTCTCTGTGTCACTATGACTAAATAGGCAGAGTCATGAACACTACAACAATAGCCAGTAAGATTATTATCCTCAGTAAATGTCTGAGTGACTGCCAGACACTGGGTGAGCTGACAAGGCTGAGGAGCCTTGCAGCACTCCCAGCAAGCATGGCATTTTGGTCAGCAGGGTCAGCAATGGAGATGACAAGGAAAATCTCTAAAGGTGATGGTTGGTGAACTGCTTGTCAAGGGTCTGTTTGGTCTGATGTTTCTGGTGTCTTTTTTCAGGTTTGCTATTGAAGGATGTAGGACTGGCTCCAGCATCAGCAGAAGTCAGCCCACAGTGAGGTCTGTGTAATCAAATTCTGCAGCTTGAGCCAAGAGGGTGCTGAGGAAGAAATGGCAAGAGTGAGAGGAGAGAGAGAGTCCACTGCCAGCTACCTTCACTTTGGTAACTGCTATAGCAGGGCACGAGCAGATGAATAGCAAAGGTTCTGTCTCTAGGACATGGGACAGCACAGTGGAGATACCTCTCCCAGGCATGGGGAAATGGCACTGCCTGACATTGCTGCTAAGGTCATGGTTTCCACTGCTTACACCTGAAATCAAGATAGCAGGTCTTTAGAAAGCAGCCCTCTTGTTTCAATAATCTTTGATCTTCCATGTGTGGTTTAAATTTAAACAGTGTTTGGCATGAACACCAACCCTAGAGTCTGGTTGTAGCACTCAAAGACACTGAACCAGATCTGTCAGATGTGATTGGGAAAAACAAGGGTTCCACAGGGCACTGTGGCTTGAGGACCGTTTGTGTTCCAGTTCAGGTAGTGGTGTCACCAAGTGTGCACATAGCACACATCTTATGCCAGCTGATGCACAGTTTCCCTTAGCATGAACTCATGGTGCCTCTTTGCTGAGCAATTAATTCTTTTTTCAAAGAGAGAGTTCCTCACAGTTTGTAATTAGAAGTGATCTCAAGACACACATCTCTACTTTGGTATCCAAGTATCCTAAATGAGTAGGCAGACGCCTGCAGAAGGTAGTTCATCTTGCCTGGCAGCCTCTTTCCTCCCTCCCAGCGCACCCACCTTCCCCACGAGGAGCCGAAGCCATTGCACTAAAGTCAGAGATGCAAGGTCTTTGGCTCTTGGTGTTTCCGGGGAGTAGACAGCCCTCCACTGAGATCACACCCACACTGTTGCATAGCAGCCTCCTAGCTCCAGGAGGCTCCCAGTGCTGGGAAATGGCGCCGTCTGGGCAGACAAAAGGGACAGGGCAAGGTGCAGGACCACAGCTTCTCAGCGAAGGGGGAGAGCTACGTGTCACACGCCAGCCAAGCTGTCAATCCAAGCCCAAGGAGGTCGGTGATGTTCAGGAAGTAGCTGACGACTTCGTCGATCATCTGGGGAAAGAATGTTATATACGGGATCATGCTTTAACTTTCCGAGTATCGGCAAACAGAGCTGATACTGTGATTAACGGCTCCCTCTTCTGTTTCCAATTGTTGTTGCACACTCTTTAACAAACAAGCATGAAAGACAATCCGGTTTCCGTGTGCTATGCTTTATTTTGTAATTCCGCATTTCAAAATACACATACATATCTGATGTAAGAGAAGAGAAGGACTTAACAGATGATATTAAATATCCCTGCTAGGTTTGGGATCAGGGAAGCAGATTGCTGGGGAGATATGGGGCTCCTGGAGTGTAACTTTCAAAGCAGAATATTCTCACAATATCTTTCAATCTCCTTTGTTTTTTCTTTGATTTGAAACACTGCTAAAACCAAATCTTCAAAGCATAAGCTTATCTGAGCAAGAAGAGGTGTTTCTGTCTAAGTCTTTTAATCTCCAGATTTTTGGAATAGTATGACAAGCAGAAGTTTATTGTCAGTGATAGTGGATTTCTGTCTTTATTTCCAGATCATCTGAGCCCATGTGAAGCTTTCCATTGAGGAAATGTTGCTTCACCTGCAACTTCTGCTTTTGACTTAATGCATATGGCCATTGTAGTTACAAGTAACTTCGTGTTGCTGAGAGTGGTGGCTGAGGCTGCTTCACAAGACTGGACTCAAGAAAAAAAATGTACTTCTAAAGTAAGAAATCAATCTTTGAGCAAAAGCAGAGCTTGATATGCACCTAATTTTTGCCATCTATCCAATATAGGTTGGATATTAGGAAAAAGTTTTTTATGGAAAGCGTGATAAAGTACTGGAATGGTGGTGGAGTCACCGTCCCTGGATTTGTTTAAAAAAAGATGTGGCACTTGCTGCCATGGTTTAGTTGAGGTGTTAGGGCATGGGTTGTACTCAATGATCTTAAGAGTCTCTTCCAACCTAGTGATTCTGTGATTCCTCAGTGAGGAATTGTAATACTCTTGCAAGATGCTGCAAGTCCTTGTCTGTTTGATATCACAGGCAGAAAGTGGGCTGGGATGCGTTTCTTGAGCTGCAGCCTATTGTGTCAGGTGAGTCAGGTACAACTGAGAGTGCTGGACCTGTCCCACTAGTGGGATTGCATCATTAGAGGAAATCAGAGCATCTGCCTTTCATTTTACTGCAGACTTTTCTTGACAGTAACATGAAGAATGGGGAATGCCTGGGCTCAGTTGCCTGACAAAAAAAACCCACATAATTTGTTATATCATTTAGGAACTTTCCACAGATCGGCAACATCTGTCATTTGTTTGAAAGTTCCATGAGTGGCATAATTTTACATGGATAGTCCCTACAATAAAAGACATCAGTGCCTGTTATTTTTCAATGACCACTGGAAGTTACAGCATGTGCAATTAATGAAGGTACCATAATTAGAGGGCTGTACAATTAAGGCAGTGGTCACTAATGATATAATACTAGTTTCTGACATACTTCTGTCAGAGTATGCCTCCAAGGAGTCTTAATAGCCTCCGTTATTTGATATTGCTTCTTTTTATCTGAAAATAAGGATACTTTCACTTTTGTACCAAAAGGAAGATATTTAAATATCCAACTCAACACAATAGAAAGAGGACAGTAGCATAAACTTGCTCCTGCAAACCCACCAGCCTCTTATATTTGCCAATTACCCGAAGAAACCAGAATATTCTAGAACAAGAGAACAAGTAGGGATGGTGATATCATCAAGCTTTTTAATTCACTAATGGTAGTGCTTTGTGTCATCAAAAGTACACCTAAAACCTCATTTAACACCAGTCGCTGCATATGTGTCAGTGTATTGTCCTGCTTTCACTGGAAATAACTGAGTGACAATGAACTTTAAAAAAACCTTTAAATGAAGGCAAAAGAGTTAGTTTAGAAAAGATTTTCCATACAGGTAAAATCTAATGTCACACTAAAATCACTGCAAAAAAAAAAAAAAAAAAGGCAAAAAAATACTTGCAGGGAAAGTAAAAGTAAAAACTTTAAAATGTTGCACATCATATTAGTCACTGACATTCTCCTTTTCACAGCTCAGGGACTCTTATATTTTCAAATATCTGAAAAGCAATTAACAGAAATTCATATGAATCTGATTATGAAGGAATTTCTGTTCAGGGTGATATATGCTTCTTAGAAGGTACAATATTAATATTATTAAACTCTCAGGTATAACAGATATAGAAAACTTACTGCAATCACAGAGTTTGAATGCAACCTGTACAATGTCCTGTGATTCCGAAAGAGTTTAAACAGTGTTATGTCACTCTTTGAAGTAAAGAGAAGACATTTTGATAAAAGGTGTAATACTGTTCAGCATGGCAGGGAGGAGATGAGGAGGAGGCTGTGAATGTAACTTAAGCTTTTTTAAGGCTTTGTTATAGAAGTACTTGGGAAATAGAACAAGAGCAATAAAACATAACATCCTTTTAGAAGGCAATAGAGCAAAGGATTTGTGGATGACTGCTCTGTTTCCTACAGCAGACATGATGTCTTATTTTAGTGGGACATAGGCAATGCACATTTCAGTGTAATTGCTTTGTAGGCATTCTATCCTTCAAAAGTCTTACTCACCCATTTTAACTCACTTTGGTGATTTTATTTCCCTCTTTTTCCAAATTTTGATGATATATTTTAACCATGATGTGTATTGATTGCGTAATAGTTCTGCAATCACCTGTGTTTGCTTTGTCGCTTCCAACATCTGTGTCTTTGGTTTTATGCACTGAAGGTGTTTGCTGAAACGTTAATTTTTTTTCCATTAATGCTAATTTTCTGAATCTAATGTAGCAGACTTGAATGTGAGCTAACTGATCACCTACAGAAAAGAGGCTTCCTGTAGCAGGATGATGGGAAATGATGCACAACCTTGTAAGAAACTCATGCTGCAGACTGAGATGCGATGAAGGCCACTAGAGCCAGGGGAGCCCTTTGCAAATGCAGGGGCTGAAATGCTTCAAGTATTATTCATGGGACGTGCAGAAGCAAGGATAAAAACAGCAAAGAGAAGTGACAGAGGAATCAGAACAGCAGTACCCAGCAAGTGCTGGCAAGGCTTGAGAATATGTTTGTGTGGTTTCCAGAGAGACACAAGTGCAAGTGCATTCTGTGTCACCATGCTGGGCTTATACCTAGCCTCTTGGCACCAGACATGCCAGGTGGCACAGGGCTGTGGTATGAGACTGGCAGTGTGTGGCCAGGGTGTGAGCTGGGAGACCAACAGGAAGCCCAGGGACCATCACATTGTTTGACATGAAGGAGCTCCCTGACTGGCCAGGTACAGCTTGCATGAGGTATGGCTAGCATGTGGTACCTCCCAGGCTTTGGGAGCCAGGAGCTCCTGCTACTGCCCTGCAAGGGGAGGGATGGAGGCACTACAGAAGGGGTGGTGCATCTTGCTGGTATATTGGAGAGTATCTACACACTATAGTGTATTATCAATTTCTCCTCCAAATGGAGAGAAAACATGCAGCCCCACATTCAAAGGTGTGAAGAGGAAATTATGCCTGTTGACTTTCTCCGTTACTTCTACCATCTCAGCTGTTCTTGATTTTCACATGCGTGCAAAATATCTCTGGGCTCAATATTTATGGTGCTCGTTAAACCAGGAACAACCAACTTATTTCCTTGTCTTTTAAAGACAATTAAATCAATTGTACATTAACTACCTCTGACTCCTAATTCACATCAGCCTCTAATGCTCAAGCTGGCTTCTGCTGATACATGCATTGCCCCTGTAGGGTTGGTCCAGCTTCTTTCCTAGTACTATCAGAAATTCACTTTTCTGGAGCAGATCCCTCAGAGCAACTGCAGCTCTAATAGCTGTAATAACATCCAGGGAGTACTGTAAGCACAATGAATAATTACTTCTTACCTTCTCTGTGCTGCTGTTCAATACACATAATTCTTGGACATTCCCAGTTATATACTTCTGCAGGCCAAGATGTCTTGCATATTTAGCTCTTTCTAACATAGAAGCTGTTTCTTTGCTGTTCTTATAATTCTGCTGTACTGAGAGGAAGATGAAGATGGGAAGACTGCCATGATGTTGAATAAATGGCCTTCCCTTGAACTCAGTGGCATAAAAACACTTCTGGTTTTTTGTGTTCCATTTCTTTCCTAGCCCTGTTTGTTTTCAGGTTCTTACTGAACCAACAAGTTCACTTGCAGTAACCTCAAGATCTCTCTCATTAATTCTTATAGCCAAATATGAGCTTAAAATGTACCCATGACACTTTGTGTTTAATCTGTGTTGAATTTATCTGACATTATATCACTTCATTTCATGAGGTTCTCTTGCATCCTTCACAGCAGAACTTTAGCTTGTATCAACAAAAAAAGTATCCATTCATTCTCCTTCCCCTTCTGAAATGATCAATGGCCATATTGATTAGCACTGCCTCCAGAACATGTGCCTGTGAGACCCCATTGCTTGTTCTGCTCCCTTGCAAAACCCAATAATTTATTATTACCTATCTTCCAGTTAGACATCTCCTGTGTGATTCTTTTCATTGTATCCCATGGCAGCCTTAAGAGTGAGAAATGCTTTCTGGGAACAATGTGGGCAGTCATCAGGGAGGTCAGTCATCACAAACTCCTTCAGGGAGTGCCAGCAGATTTGCATTGTGACTGTTCTTTACTTTTCCCCAGTGTACTGTGTTTAGTCGTGTTCCCACCCTTCTGGTTTTCAGGTGGGTCTCTACCTCTTTGTCCAATATGACAGCAGACCTGATGTTCACTGGCTCTCTGGGTAGCACTTGGCATAGTACCAGTCAGTTTTCCTTGCTGTGTTCCTGAGCCAGAGGCTCCCATTGTTCATCTACCTCAAGTTCTAGAAGTCTAGGCTGGATTCCATCCTGTCCTGGCTTGTTACCTCTTGTTTTGAGGATCTGTCCTATCACATCTTCTACCTTCACTTCAACTGGGACAGATGCTTCAACATATCTCTTTCTCTATCCTCTGGGAACCTCTTCAAGCTCCACCACAGTGAAAACATGTGCAAAATATTTACACTTTCAGCCAAGTCCTTACCTTTTTTTAAAGCCTTCTTTTTATATCCTCACCATCTACTGATTCTCGATGGCCTCTTGAGGTTTCTTGATCCCATTGCACTTGGACAAGAGTCTGTGGCTGTTTGCAGAATGCTCCTGTAACGTTTCTGGTCAACATTACACTACTCTAGACTTTTCCTGCATTTACTCTTCAAAGAGGAGCATTAACCTTAAGTGCTTCTGAACTTTCTTTTTCCCTCTGCAGCTGATAAATTTGGGATGAGTTGTTAAGGGCCAATAGTGGAATACAAAGCCTGACTTCAGCAAAGCATGAGCTTAAATACCATTATTTTAACACTGACCTATATTAAGTACTTAAATTCTCTGCAGAGTTTATAGCTCTACTAACAGGGCTGTGAGCAATGGTTATTTCTTTCCTCTTTTCCAATTTTTAATGATATTGCTTCTTGACTGGTGTGCTGTTGACAATGCTGACCCCTGTACTGGGCTTAAAGCAGTAGTGAAACATCTGTGTGTACCTTGGAGCAGACAGGAGGGGGTTCCTCTTCCTTGGTTGCCACAGCTTTGGCATTTGTTGCTAGCTTGAGGTCTGGAAGAAGCAGTTCTTCAGCAGGACACTAAGGGGCAGCTCCAGACCAAAGGAATATTCCTACTTTTTATTTACACACAAATTAAGAGAACACTATATTTTCCTCATTTTTCTATATTGATTTAACATTAGTAGTGCCCAGAAAAACTGAATCAAGTTGATCTGGAGTGCTTTTTTTCCTGTTGCATTTTTACTATTTAGCTTGGCACTGGTGATGAAGAAGGTGTGAATTTATTTGCCAGTCATCTGTAAATGGGCCCACTTGAGCTCACAGGGTGGGTAGAGAAGATGGAAAAATGCAGTGATCTCTGCATCTGGAGCTATGGTGGCCACCCCACACACCATGGCATGGCCAGGCACATGTAGCATTGCATAGTTACATGGGGCAGGAGCCCTCACTGCTCAGAGATGCTCCTTGGCAAGAGAAAGGTACTCTCACAAGGCCCTGGAGTCCTATTCCCAAAGCAGCAGCTGCTGTATGAATTCTTGGAAACCAGGAAGGAGGAAGTGAGGCAGGAATAATTCAACAACCCACCTAAGACTATGGAAAATCCGTGCAAGATTTTGTTACCACTACAACTTACTAGGTGCCTTGCTCACCATCCTGGGACACAGGACCACTGCCTGCAAGGAAAGATCCCAATAATTATGAAACATTACCTGGGCCTAGCTGCAAAACCCTTGTGGAGGGAGCCAGACATTGGAGTGAATCAGACTGAAGACTGCTGCATGTTGGCATGAATTAGAAAAAACGTGAGCCAGTCAGAGCCACCATATCTCCAAGGGATGGGTTTGCCCTACTGATCAGCAGATCTAATGCAAGGAGAAAGAGTATCCTGGTTTTGTTCAGATGGTGATGTATTGCCAAGCTGTAATGTGAGCTGCAACAGCCAGCTGGCACTGGGTGTGTGATCTCTCATTACCAAGCTGCTCTGTAACGGGACCCTCTGCCACTACCTGGGCACAACTGGCTCAGATTCTCCATCTACACCAAGATATTTTACACTATTTTGGCATCCTTCCTGGGCGTAGATAGACAACGTTAAATTCATAAATTTCTTGGCTGATACACAGCTGGACAGATCTCTCTACTTCAGAGGCATAAGAAGTGCCTCTGAAGGAAGAAAGAATTGTAGCCAGAAATACTTCTAAACTCCAATTCAGGGTTAATTAAAGTTTTCTACATATTTTACATATTCATATACAGCACAGTGCACTCATATACAGTAGATGTTGCCTTCACAGGCTAATAACGGATGGTTGCTCACAGAGGTAGGAAATGGTGAACAATTTTCTATGAGGAGGAGAAGAAAGCAATATGTGGTACCTGAAGTCAGTACCTCAAATACTGACAATGCCACAATTTCTGTGCTAAGTGGATATCACAAGAGGAATGACAACTATGGGAACAAGCAGGATCCAATGATCTTGACAGTTCAGTGAAAAAGTCACTTATGTATTTGGAAAAGAGGTGTGTAACTTGTTCAAAACAGGATTCAACCGAGAGTATAAGGACACACTTCAGTTAGGCAGCCCTTGAAGTGTAACCCATTAAAAAAGATACCTAGAGTAAATTACCAAATCTAGGTGGTAAAAGCTACTAGCAAGACATTTAACTATTGTTTGCTGTTCTGTTGCCTATGGGATCACAGCAGTTTAAACAACTTTGAAGATGTCAGCTGGAACCTACAGGGGAGGGAGACATTTCTTATGTAAATGAATAGATCAATAAGCCACCCAGATGTGGCAACAAACCACCAATGAAAATGCTAACCCTCCTTAAATGAAAAAATGCTCATTATAATTTAACAAGAACTTCTAACTCAAATGTAAGTCTCATAAACTCTTTAATCTATTTAATAAACTCTAGTCTAATCTAGGCTCTAATCCAATACAGGATTTTTGTTGTGTAGTATAAATGTCCTTATGAACCTTGCAGTTTTGCCTCCCATTTCACCCTTTTCCCACTTTGGGACTACAACACTGATTCAAAATATGTGCATACCAAGAGCTGTGTGAGTTTGGGAAAAATAAATAATGACAGTATATGGGTGGGAGGCTGACTTGCCTTTCCCAGTGCAATAATTACTTTTGAGAAAATGTTCCCCACATGCATTCTGACAAATGTTGAAAGCTAAATGCCCTAAGAACAAGATTCTCACTCTTAAGCTGAGTAGTATTTTACTATGGCTTTTGAGTGGCCTCAAAAAGAGTAATAAGATTTTCTGCCTATGATCTGACTGTCCCATCTCCAAGTGGGAGGGGAGGAACAGTACCATAGACCCTCCTAGCTGGGTGCATGTTTTTATTACCCTAACTAAAATAAGGGGAATCAGTCCTGCATGTTGGGTCCTTTTTCAGAATTACAGGGCAAGGAACAACCTTCCTTTCTCTCAACAGCTTCCAGTGAAATCATAGAATCACAGAAAACTTTGGTTTGGAAGGATCACCTTAAGGATCACCTGGTTCCAGCTAATCTGCAGTGTCCAGGGGCACCTTTCAATAGACCAGGTTTCCCAGAGCTCCATCCAGCCTGGCCTTGAAGACTCCCCGGCATGGGGCATCCACAACTTCCTTGGGCAACCTGTGCCAGTGCCTCACCACCCTCTCAGAAAAGAATGTGTTCCTTTTATCAAATGTAAACCAACTCTCTGTCCATTTGCTGCCATTACCCCTTGTCCAGTCACTACATGCTCTTTTACAAGCCCTTCTCCAGCCTTCTTATCAGCTCCCTTTGGCTACTGGAAGGCCACAACTAGATCACCCCAGGGCTTTCTCTTCTCCAGGCTGAATAGCCTCAGGTCACTGAGCTTGTCCTCACATGAGAGGTACCCCATCCCTCTGATGATCTTCTGGAAGTCACAGTGACTGACTCATTGTGTAAGCCTAGGTCTATCACTTGCTTGAGAAAACATGGCATACAGAATTCAGCCTTGTAGACTACAAGGCTGTGCTAGGCCAGGTGGAGACTGCCTCTTCGCCTTCTGACACTCACAAGCACTTCCACAAGGCACTCTTTAATGTTGAAACACTCATTGGGAGAGTATGTAAGGGTCAAGGACGTAACATGAAAGGGACAGTGAAACATGGAAATAGATTGGGTGAGTCAGGGTAGACTGCTAGATAGATAGACTGCTTCCAAATTTATTTTTGAGTTTAAGTGAAGAGTCAAGACTATTTGAAGGTCATTTACAAGGTCAAAGTATTTGTGGTAGTGGTAGGTGGTGCAAAAAGGGCCAGTGCTCACCACTGTACTTTGGGATGCTCAGACTGGATGTTAGGGCAGTCATCTTTCACAGGGAGATAGTGCAACACCTAAGCAGGTTACCCAAGAACTTGTGAAATCTCCATCCTTGGAGGTTTTTAATATTTACCTAACAAAACTGTGTCTGTCTAGTCTAATGCTGAAGATTATCCAGCTTTGAGGAGGCAGTGGAACTAAGCATCTCCAGAGGTTCTTTCCCACCAACACATTTGGCAGGCTCTGATGGACAAAGTTAAGGCATGAATGAGGAAGACACTATCCTTCACCATGTCTACAGGCAGTCCTACATTCTCTATCAGCCACATCTGGTGCTGCTCCTGTGCTTAACCTGCTGGAAACCAGAGTGCAAGGTGAGAACTGATGGGAGAGTGGTGTTTGCTGACACAGTCAGGTCTTGGCCTGATACTGAATTGCTTTACAGGCTGTGCTGAATTTAGTTATCTTCAGTGCCAACTGGTTATCATACTAAACCAGATTGTTCTGGGATGTTGGATGAGGAGTATGAAACAGTTGATTGATTGATTGATTGATTGATTGATTGATAATCATGAATTTTGAGTATACAGTGCTGGGACTTGCCTTCATAGAAGTTGTGAGACATCTGCTGTCACTGGAGCCACTGGCAGGATTTTGCTAGCCAGGGAGGAAAGGACTGGTCACAGCAAACTGTGTGGACCCCTTGAAAAGCAAGCTCACTGCAGCTGCTCCCTGTGTATGTCACCCACTAATGGGTGGAAAAGAAGGTTCCTTGCACAATTAGCTGGAGTGAAAGTACCTGTAGAAAGAATCTGCACATATTATATCACTGTATAAATTATTGAGCTGATGTTCTGGAGATAATAGAGGAAACCCTTTCTTTCTTCTGTCCTAAGGATGGCAACTCTGAAAGTTTACACCTGCTTCCTGGAAGTTGTACCTCCTGTAGGCTCTGCTTAGATAATTAATTTGCAATATTCATTAGCCAGAGGATCAGTGTAATAATATATAGACAAACAGAGGGATTTCATGCTTATATATTGAGTCAGCTGTGGTTTTTCTTCTGGGCGTGGGTGAAGTTGCTGTTGAATAAATGGCAAAAACCCACATAAACCCAACAACAAAAAACAACCAAGTATTTTGATGTTTATCTGTATAATATTTCTGAGCAATAGTTATAATCATTAGTGAATCACAGGCAAGAGAGAACCATGTGGCTGTAGCTACATTAGGAGCTCCGTGCTTTTTCTTCTCATCTGCAGACACAGAGGATTCCCAGAACTGAGTGGGAGAGATATGCTGTGCCTGATATCACTCATCTTCTTCTCTCATATGCTCTATATGATCCAGCTAGATCCCAGTGTTTATAGGAGGACAGAAGCACAAGGACAACTCCTGCACAAAATCGCACCCATGAGCTTTCCCCAAATACAGAAGAGGTACAGAGAGCAGCTCTCCTCCTTCACTTTCCTCTGACTGCAGGAGAGATATGTTCCTCTTGTTCCTCTGGTTTCTACCTTAACCTTTTATAACAATTCCCTGTGTGCTGGCTTGCCCTTCCCTGGTGAGTACTCCTGGCCACAGGGATGGCAGTTGCAGGTGTATGCCCTGCACACAGGAACCCCTAGCCAGAGGGGCCTGCGTATTTTGGAAATGAAACTTTACACATGGTCACTTCCCTTATCACTGGGATCCAGTATTTCCATGTGTTCCACCCCCTCTTCTTCCCTCCCTTTTTCCCCAGAGGCCCACACAAGACCCCCAGGTTGTGGAGTCTTGTCACAATAGCACAGGCAGAAGAAACACGTCTGAAGGCACAGGAGGCAGGCAGGGGTGTGGACTGAGATATATAGTAGTAGTCAAAATTAGGAGTGCTTGGAGGATTTCAGAGCTAAAAACAATGCCCAACTAATTCCCTTTCCCTCTGGCTGGAATGAAACAAAGAAGGAGCTGCAGCTCCACTGTTCGTCTGCACAGTTGTGCTTGCTGGACGAGTGTGTGCAGCTGGTACAAGGCTCTATTAAGGGAAACTAAACCCTCAGGCAAACTCACAAGCAGCTTTCTGTTTTGTGTGTCTGTCATAAAAACCCTGGTCATTTGTTATTTGGAGTGGTGCACCCTACCACAGTGAAGCTGTTTCCTGTATCCCTCAGCCATCAAGAAGTTCCTGAAGTTTGGGCAGAAGATACTTATTGCCCTTCTGGGGCCAGGTCATTTATTCAGGGAAAGAATACTAGGCTGCAGTTTTTGTGCAGGACTGTAAGAATGCAGCCAGACTGTTGTTCAATGTACACTGCAATTCCAGGTACACTTTCCACTGATACTGGTTCCCTGATTTCCTCCTGGGGACTACAGCAAGAATTTAATTCGTCAAGAGATAATGTTTTAGGTGTACGGAGATATCTGACAATTAAAGTAGATGTCTCAAGGGATATGTGGCAATCTCACAGGCACACCTACCTCCAGGTACCCAGGCACCTTTGAACTCTGGCTGCCAGCTGAGGCAGTTATACTGTAGAAATGCTGAAAGACAGATTAGAAAGTGTTCTTTTAAAAATGGTGGAAAGTTGTTTTATATCGACTTGGTGATTGTTAGCATTTTCTAATTTTGACCTTCAAGGCCCTGAATGAGCATATTTGTAAAATGTCAAATGATAAAAATTATCCCATGTGTTCCAAATGCAGTCTTTACTCTGTCTGGTGAATATTTTAGTGACCCAGTTAGAGCAAGAGGCTTTTATTGAACAGAGTAGGCAAATGCAGAGGGAAACAGAAGACCTGTCATCCCTGTGACAATTATACGTCTGTCTCTATTTGTGTAATCCACCCTCTCAGCCTGATAAACAAGAGCCTGTGCATGGGTTTTGAAAGGAAGGTGACCATCACCTTCTGTGATCTGGGTATTTTCTTGCGTACACCTCTGCTAGCCTGTAAAGCAGGTAAGTCTTAACCTCTGCATTATGATATTGTTTAGGACTCCAGTCCTACTCTGAAGTGCATTCTGGCTTTTTAATCTTTCTCTGGGGCTCATTCAACATGTTTCACTTATTCTTGATTTCTACTTTCAGTTACTTTTGGAATCCACTACTTTGCAAGTAATTGCATTTCCATCTGGTTTTTTTATGTTGCTTCCCTGTGTACCTTCTTACTGTATGCTCAATGAAGCAAACCTTGGGGATGATCAGCTCACATCTGTTTACTGCAGGCAATTTATAGGAAAAAGGCTCAGCCCAAGCAAATATGACTGAATAAATTGACAGATGGTACTTATTCTTGTTACGAGTGATCTTCCTCTGACCACCTTTAAACTGGTGTGGAGCTTTCTACGTAAATGCACTTTTACTTTCCCAGATGGGACTTTTTGAAGACATTTTCTTGAGAAAATTTTTAAATTATCAGGAAAGAAAGTATGCCTTCATTTTTCCTGTATTTTCAGGTATAGGCGCAAAAGTTTTCCTTTTACAGCAGCTTTATAAAATGGATACACAGTAGCTTGTTTTCTTAAATAAAAATCCTTTCTTTCCATTTACCTTTTTGAAGCAATTGCTTAGGAGTTCAGGACCATGGGGTTTTTTTATTACAGTCCATCCTTGCTCACACACAGCCAACAGGATGGATCAACTGAAAGCCTGACTCTTAGCCTAACAATCTCTGTCTTCATCTGGCCCTCCTTCCCTTCCCAGAGACTGGCCTTTGGTTTGACTCCTGGGCAATGTCAGTGACCATATCTTTGCCCCACAGCTCTCCTGCTCACTGCTATGACCACTCCACTGGAAGATGCAATGGACACCTTGATCAGGATTTTCCATCACTACTCGGGCAAAGAAGGAGACAGGAACAAGCTCAGTAAAGGAGAACTCAAGGAGCTCCTCACCAGTGAGCTCACTGACTTCCTTTCAGTAAGATGCAGCTTTTGAACCTCCTGAGTGTCATGAGTGGGTTAAGCAGCTATCCAAGTTCTTGGATAGGGATAGCACCTCCTTGTGCAAGGTCCATCCTGTCACAGTCTCTCAGATAACAGTTCTTTGTGGAGCTGTACAGAAGAATATGATGTCAAATGTCCCGTTTGAGAAATATGTTTTCAGAGGGTGATCAGTACCCTCCTATGTACCACTGGCAGCAGAGAAGGGTACTGGTGCTCTGCAAACTCCACAGTGCTTTTGAGTGGGAGGGCTAGGCCAGCCTAGGAGCAGTAGCAAGATCAATGCTAAATAATGGTCAATTTGTTAGTTTGTTTGTTTTTAATAATAAGGCATAAATAAATCCATTGAAGACTTAAATGCAGCAACCAGTTGTCATGAGACAGGAAAGTAGGTTGTGCACACTGGCCACACAGTACTGATCTTGTGTGTCCTGCAGAGAGGTGCTAAGGAAATCCTTTCAATGATAAGCTGCTGATTTGAATATCTCTTTGCATGTTTGTTGTGTTCTACATTACACAGCATAGATGCTTTTCTGGAATCAAAGCTTTAAAAATAATGGTTTTATGTATCCTCTTAATTATAAAAATTATTGTGGACCTTATCCCAGAAGGATTTTCTTTACATTGCATTCATTTCCTTGAATTGGATTTTCTTTTAATCTTGGCTATTGATTTATTATTATGAGATTCAATGTTCTTACTCCCACTGAATAGGATGGTTTTTTGCTGACCAGAGTTCTTCTGAATTTGGTGAATGGATATATAATATCACAATTTATGAGTATTCTGTTGGAAATCTAAGTAGTGTTTGTCAAGGGATGATACAGAGAAATGCACTTTACAGATCCACCTTGGCAAAAGAGATCCATGTTTAGTATCTCTTAAAATCTGTTTGACTCATTTCAGTCCTTATTAAGAGCCTGTATACCTTTTTAAGGGCTGCACTCTCTTTAGTTTCTGATGTTGCAGTGACTAGAGATGTATTACTGTTCAAGTGCATATTTAATGCAGCCTTTTATTTAATAACACCAGCCTTGTAACATAGCAGTGGTGCCAGGCGTGTCAGAATTGCGCTTTCAAGACCTCCACAGCTAAGTCACTTTTCTTTCTCTCTAGGGCCAAAAGGACCCCCTCCTGGTCGATAAAATTATGAATGACCTGGACTCCAATAAGGATAATGAAGTGGATTTTAATGAATTTGTCATTCTGGTTGCTGCTTTGACAGTGGCATGTAATGATTTCTTTGAAGAACAGCTAAAGAAAGAGGAATTTTAAAAATCCTCGATGTAATCAATCTCCTGTCCGCAAATGCAAGCAAAGCATGCCTAGTTAGGTAGCCCTCATTGGTGTTTAGTAAATGCAAACCATAATTCCTCCAACTGTTACTGCTCTAAGACATTTATGGAGCTAATCAGCAGCTGGTGTAAGCTGGACCACAGCCAGCTTACACTACTTGAGATGTGCAATATTTCCAGTCTTTGCACTCCATGCATCTGTAACATGCCTTCATCAGTTGGCCAGGTCAAGGGCTTGGGGTGACAGATCATTTTGGCACGAGTTGAGACTTCCATTTCTTCAATGTCAGTGGAAAGTAAAAGGCATGGGAATGTTACTTATATACTTTTTGCATGGAAAAAATTTGGAATGAGACACAACACCTGCAATTTAGTTTTCAGTCATATTATAATAATCTTATTTTGCAGCTCAAAACCAGCAGATTCTTTTTAGCTCAGTTCTGCTTATTCTAAAACCTTTGTTAGCTGCTGCTCCCCACACTCATATTTCAGATGTGGTCACAGCTGTCTCTTGCTGCTGGAGCATACAATACTGCTTGCCATTGTTATGGGTTCATTTCCTCCTGTCTCCAGCTTCAATTTTGTTCTGTTGGCATTGCTTCATCCCAGTAGTCAACCTCTTCACTTGGCATAAATGAATTTATTCATGTCATAAATTATTCAAGTACATAGAAGATTTAGTCACCAAATTGCTTGGAGGGCTGATGGAAGGACTGGGTCTTTGGGGGAAATGTGTAAATGCCTTCTGCTTTGACTACTTTGGCATGGTTAAAAAGGATGCCTTTTAGGACCACTTGTGGAAGATTTAATGATGAAATTCCAGGTACAGCTTTGTAATGTGAGTCATCTTATGGAAAAATTATTATTTTATCTTACACTGATCCCCACCTTGTATGGAAGTAGGAGTTCCCTGAGCCCCACGGCCAGGCAAAGAGAAAGTAGGCAAACCCCTTCCAGTGTTAGCTTGCTCTTGGGTTGAGTTAAGAGTATTTACACACTCCTGTTTGAATTAAGCATACTTAAGCATCCTCAGTGGCAGGATATTGTGGCTTTTTTCCTGCACGGAGAGCTCTTATATCCTTGTTATTTTGCTGTTAACCTCAAACTATAATAAAGGACATCTGAATTAAATGAAGAATTTCTGTTTGTGTAAGACGTTATTAAAAAACCACTCCCCAATAAAGATGTGCCCTGCTAGGCAATATTTGCGGATTTAGTTCACTTGTCTCTCCTTCCCAGGCATCCAAATATCATTTAGCAAAGTGTACATTTGTATGAAATTACATATGATTAAGAATATGTAATTTCTTATTAGCAGGGGATTTCTCAGGGTGTAAAAATGTAACAGGGGGCAGACATCATCCTAAGAACAGGGTCACCACCAAATGGTGTTATCTTGGAAGAAAAGCAAACTTTGCAATGGTGACAGTGCCACAGCATGCTTTAACCCTTCAATGAAAAAGTTATGCAGGATTCACAAAATATCTTCTAGGCCAACAAGACAAAAAGTACAAAAGTAAAACTGGCAACAACTGAACAACTTTTTGATCCCTTTAATGTCATGCACTTCAATATCATTGCAAGTGTTGGACCAGGATGGCAAAAGTATCAGCCAGAAAATATAAGACCACTTTTGTGGTTTCTCAGGGCCCCAGAGAGTTGCTAGCCACTATGCCTTTCCCTGTTCTCCAAGGGGAAGTGAAAGAAGACCTGTTTAAATCTTCAACTCCAAGCTAAAAGGAGTACGGTTATCCCAGTAAAAACCACTTCCTTCTCTAAAAAAATTGAACAAGAATCTTTCTGGAAAGAAGCTCCAGAAAGAAGCCCAATCCTGATGAACCCTTGTACATGTAGCAGCCCATGTGCGTAGCAGAATTATGCTGGGTCACAGCTGGCAGCAGCAATTTGCCCTGGAGTCAGGCAGCAGGAGTTACTGCTGCAGTGGAGAGGGCCAGAGGAGCCACCTCATCAGCTGGATTTGCTAGGGACTGTGTACATCCTAACTGCTCTGCGGAAGGGGCTTACTTGCTGATGAGCTGTGGGAGAGTCAGAGGAGAACTACTCAAATGATCATTTTTCCTACTAAGTTTCGTAAAACCTCATAAATCACTGGTTTTAGCTTGTCTTGTTAGGTGTTTCTTTGTTGCTGTTTTAACTACAAGGACAAATGTTAAACTCTGTCTCTTCTGTCAGAAGACACCTTTTTGTACAAAGACGGGAAACCAAGCAGAAAAGTAAGAAAATGCACAAAACACATTCAAAAGCTCAAACCCACAAAGCCTTCCCACAATATGGGGTCCTGGGGTAAGACTAGCCATCCTGTTCCTGGGCTACCTGTGGGCTGACCCACGGCACCCATGGCCCTCTCTCACTCCTCTCGCACAGGAGCCAACTAACGTTCCATTAGAACATTAGTTGCTCCAGTAGACATCACTTCTAAGAAAGATATATGAGGATCACCTGAAAGTTTTTAATTGCCTCTGAGCCAGAAAAAAAAACTGTGAGCAATCCTCTATTTTGTAAGCACTCTTAAAGAGGGAAAACAGCATTGAAACCACTGGCATTGGCTATACAAGAGGGTGCATACAAGGCCAACCTCACTATGAGCATGATGTCCTGCAGATGTAAACATTTTTGGATCTTCATTCTCTCTTCCAAACCTGAAGGCAGGATTTTTTTTCTCATTGTTTACTGACATTTTCCTGCTGACTTCAAGTCTTTCTGTAGTTCATGGATCTAGGGAGTACTTCGAAGTTTTACATGCAGATCGAGCTTGCTGTGTGGCTTTCTCCAGAGTGCCTCAGCATTAGGAATGATGTCTAACTACAGACATTTTTTCCATTTGTTATACCAGGCTGTCTTAAAAACCTATAGAAAATTGAACACCAAAACATAGCCTAATATTTTCAAGTTACATCAAAACCCAATAAAAATAGAACAGTGCCAGACAAGATCTTTTCTCTATATTGTGAAATTGCTTTGCTTGACATCTAAAGAGCAGATTTGCAGAAGACAAATTCCACTATCTTGAAAGCCTCAGCCTCTGCCATTTGCTTTTATTTCAGTTCAAAAGAGATTTGAAGTGCCTGTGCAACTGGCAACACAAAGCTTGATGCATTACCTGCTGGTAAATTTATAACTTCTTCAGATTTGTTATCCAGCTACCAATCCCAAAGAGCTGTGCATGACACCACCATGAAGACAAGGAGTTTGTAATGGAGCTGTGCCTCCAAGCTGTGATTACCAGCTAGGTCCAGTAGGAGGGCACCACCTTTCAAAGGAAGGTGTGGAAGTGCAGTAGGAGAATAATCCCAAGGATCATGGAAGTCGTCAAGTGCAATGAGATAACAATCTTCCACAACACTTTTCTCCCTGTAAAGATGAGAGATAAAGTTGCCTGGCGTTGTGAGAAGGGAAAAAGAAATGACCCCAGGAGACCTCAGCAGAAGAAATGATGTTTCCAGTAGCTAGCAGTGTCATTAATTGCTGTCCACCAATGTAGCAGTGCAGGTCCACCCCAGGTTCCTCAGCCACCCAAGGCAGACCACTTTTGCAGGCTCCATGCTAGAGCATAAAGCAGGGCAGGGCCAGGAGAAAAAATTCTCAGGGACAGCCTAGAGTCCATCATACGAGCTCAACAGCACACATAAAAGATCCAGTTCCTCTGATCACAGCCTTGAAAACGTTGGGTAAAAGGTCGCACACAAAACTTGTATCTGAAATCAGATTAATCTATATAAAGGTTTTTGACTGGCAGGAAGATTTAGATTTAGATTAAGATTTATACTGTGGCGTGACATCATGTGCATGTCTAATAAGGGCTTTGATTGACAGGCCATCAATTATTGTGTGTGCCTTTAGGGATAATTACATCTGTTGAATAGCACTGTATTATTTGAAGAAAAAAGGGGTAACATTTTTGATTTGATCTTTCTTCTGCCACATGATATGGCATGAGAGAGAATGCTTAATTTATGATCTGGAAATCCATTTTCTAAATTAATTGTGTCCACATCCTTTCTCTGAGTTGGAGGATGGTGGGCTATAGACCGGGCAGCCATCAAAGAGAGCACATGAATGAACTTCAGCAAAAGTATTTTAAAAAAAAGAAACACCAAAAAACTTGTCATTTTTAAATACCAGCTCTCAGCCACCTGCTATCAGTTGTATATAAGGGGCAACTCCCAAGGAAGAGAACTGCAGCTGCATCCACTTATTTTGCCCTTGCAAGCAGATTCTCAGCTGATGTAAAATGACAGAGCCTATTGCACTCAGTGGCATAATTTTGCAGCAGCTGAGAACATGTGCTTGAGACTCTAAATTAGCCTTCAATGGAAAGTTGTGTTTCTGTAAGCTGGTTGGCTAAATAAGGACATGTCTATAAAACTGCAAATATTGCAACAAGACAGCAAAGAGGAGGACAGAAGAAGTAGCTGCTCAGAACCCAAGTCTTTGGGGGAAAATCAGTGGAAAATGTTTCTGTCACACATTTGCTTTAAATCCCAAGCTGCCCTCTCAAGTCCCTTTTGACTGCATGGGGTGCAGAGCAATCATTATAGTATAGCTTTCAAATATCTGTCAATGGACTCTGCCTTAAAACTCCACATATGGCTTTGATTTTACATTCCCAGTAGTTGCATGAACTCAGAAAAGCACTACAGAATAAAGCACTACAGGAAAAAGATCTGTGTGTAGAACAAGTTATAAAGGGCAGAAAAGCAACTGAACCACCTGGAACCCTACTCAAGATTGTCTTCTTGGAGTAGAAAAATGGCGAGAAGTTGAGATTGCTGCAGAAAGATGTAAATTCCTCAGCTCTGGCTGGGGACATCAAGGGGCAGTAGCAAACAGATCCCTGTGGCTGAGTGATGTGTCTGGATGAGACACAGGGCTGGAGAGTTCCATCCCATTTGCACTATTGATGCCTTCGGTAGATGAAAGCAAAACTGGTTTGCCCTTGTACTAATGACTGAATGCTGC